AACATTAATTCAAAATGTAGAACTTAATCTTTAGGTGCAACATTAATTTAAAATTTACAAATTTATCTTTAAATGTATGTTACAGAATATAAATATTTTGTATGAAAATATTTTGCTTTCATAAACCAATTTCCGTTTCTTTTGCATGCATTTCAGAATGCTCTGGAAATTTTCACTTGTTGCAGTAATTTTAATTTTGTCAGTTTCTTTATTAGTGTCATTTCAGTTTATTAAATATCTCAAAATGTAAGTACAGTATATCTTAGCAGTCATTACATATTATGCATGTAAAACTAAATTTTGAGTAATTTATTAATTAACCCAGCAATACATTGAGTTTCAGGCAAGACACTGGATATATTGAAATTATATATTTTGTTTGTGTGCGCGCGCGTGCGCATGCTCACGCACAAACACACATCGTAACATTCTTTATGGGCTGATTTAATGATTAAATAAAACTGTATTAAGGCATCTGATGCACAGTAGTAACTTTTTATTAAATTTAACCTAATACAAGTTACATGGATAAAACAATAAAGGTGAATAAGGGAGCTGCATACTTCATCTTAAAAAAGTTCTTTTACAGCTCATTTCTATCATACAGTAGCTCAGGTGGAAGCATTTATTAGGTTTGATATGCAGAGAGAATGTTGTTTTAATAAGCTTTAAATATAAAGTCAACAAGTTCATAACCATTTCTGTGAGAGCCTCAGATCCTGCAAGTGAACTTCTGACGGAGTTCAGAATTTTGCACCCAGTCATTAGGGTCCTGTTATTTCAGCCATCAGCAGCAGTGTCAGGGGTTCCTAGAGCCTTTTTTTTGGTAGCACTATCAGTACTTATAAGTCTTTTCCTTTTATAAGTCATACTTAATATGGTATTAAGAAAATAGCAGTATCTTATAAAAGATGGACCCCAGACCAGACTGTGAAGTGTACAGACCCAGCAACATTGCATCCATTTGTTTCTGAGTTCACTTTATGCTGAAAGGATCTTGGATGAGTGAGTACATGTTCAGATGCCAAGCCAAGCCAAACCAAGCTGGGGGTATTCGTTATAAAAGGTGAACTTTTGTAAAGTTAGGATTATGTGTGTATGTGTTCAGCATGTACAAGTTTACTATCTTTGACAGTTTTAGTAAATATTATTTTACTACAAGTACATTCTCATTGATTAGATAAAAGTGCCTCTTCTTTGGATGTGAGAGAGAAATAATAATCTTGAAAGGAACCATAGAGTAAATAGATTTAAACAAATACTAACTCCATGTATGCAAAGTCTTCCTTCAAAATTTATATTACGCAGTTGGTCAAGAAATTTCCAGCTTTAAACAGACACATGTGAAAGATCTGTAACTCTTTTTTATTAACACTGTGAAATATGAGGATTTATAATAACGGTGGGACCAAATTTTGAAACAGGGCCAAGGAAAGGAGATCAAAATATAATGGCTCTCTCAAATTTGAAAATGGCAGTAAATAAATAGAAATGATCCTATCCTGTTGACAGCAGTGGTAATAATCTTAGATAGAAAATGCAAATTTCACAGTCTTATGCCAGGATATAAAATTTTGTTTGTCACTCATGTCAAACATTTGATTGGAGGCAAGTTTTGAAATTCTGATAAGTTAGTGTTTTAAACTGTAAAATTGGAAACATTAATAAGGAGCTTTGAGTGTGTTGAGGCTAGAAAGAAAAATAAAATAGATTTCTTTATGCTGTGACTCACGGGGAATGGCAAAAGATTTATTTCTCCTTACAAGTTAGAATAAGTGTGAAAGTTACTTGTGCCTTCAGAACTTGCTGCACTCTATCCTGTACTGGTAAACATTTGCTGTTTCAGCGTACAGTATATTGAGAGCTAACTCAGTATGTAAGTATTAGTATGTAGTTTCTTTTGTTTGTTATTAATGGGCTATAGTATCATCCTCTGTGTGAAAATTTTACTGGAAATTGAATTATGTGGAAAAACTATATGGTGTCTAGTGAGGAGAGAATTTCTCATTGCAGTATTAATATATAAAATACTATGTAATCAGGTGCTCAGTAATTTTTGTTGTGGACCTGATACTTACGTTGATGCACCAGTTTGTTAAAATGATGAGTGTTTTCTGATGTTATATTTTAGCGTCCTGTTGCAATGACTTAAGTCCATGATTTATTTCAACCGTCTTCCAGTGCATACACTCATCTATCTCACTCCTCTCTCTCGCACTACATGTTTCGGCACAAAAGTGCCATCTTCAGGTGCTTATTCGATTTACGCTAAACTAGTTCATTGCATGCCTTGTCGTCTTCATATTAAAATAACTAAAATATATATTTATCATATATATTGATAAATGTTAAATGTTAAAAAGCAGTATAACACACGCAGTCACAGGAGCAAGACACAACACAAAGCACAATACACACACGATAGTGAAAGAGTGCTCCAACAGAAGAGGATAGGTGTGACTCGCGTAGTGAGATACGACGTAGGGATGAAAAATCCTGAACAATTTTAATATTTTTAATATTTAATATTTATCAATATATATCATAAATATATATTTTAGTTATTTTAATATGAAGACGACAAGGCATGCAGTGAACTAGTTTATCGTCAGAAAATTGGAGTGTGGTGTGCTGCATCACGTCATCGAATTTTCTTTGAAACAACAGTGAACAGTCCAGGGTACCAAGATATCATTACACAGTTTATTGCGCTTCTTGAAGTTGATGAACATGAGTGTTGGTTGCAGCAAGACGGTGCCACATGTCAGCGACCATCTCATTTCGAAAGGATTGTGGCCCCCGTGTTCACCCGATTTGTCACCCGCAGATTTTTTCTTTTGGGGGTACCTCAAAGGAATTGTCTGTAAAAACAATCCACATACATTGGATGACCTCAAGAGGAACATTATGACGGCGAGTAACAGCATCAGTTTACAGGTGTTCCACAAAGTGGCCTCAAACATGGTAAAAAGAGCTCACGCATGCATTGCTGAACAAGGAAGCCATTTCAAGCCCATGTTGTAAAGACATGATTTGATTTTGCATTTCTAAGATGTAAGGTTATAAACATTAACAGTAAATGCTGTATGTCTTCTGGTTTGTGCATTAAACCAGCAAAATATAATTGCTTAGTGTAAGATGAACGACTTCTCGATCTTCCTGTATTATGCTTTGAATATTATAGCATTCTTAAAAACGTCCAGTGCCACTCAATACAAATTAAACAATATGTAACTTCAAGAAATAAATGGCACTTACAGTGTTACCATCTCAGAAGTTTGTTTGGACACCATATTTATACTGTTGATGATGGGAATCAAACAGTACTGGGATGGGTTGCTCTCGAATGGCATGATGTTTAAGCTGAGTTTCAAGAAAATCAGTGTACTCCATTCAGGTCCAAAATTGAAACAAGGGATTGGCTCGGCTTATTACTAAATGCTATAAACAAGGAACTCTCTACCCTTGTAACCATACAATATAATGTAAAACTTACCACCATGTCCCAATGCACAACTTGTCAGAATGGGTTTTCCAAACGCCACATATTCTCTGTTTCACAGAACACCATTTAAATAAAACTGAAATGCGGACTTCTATCAACAATTATAACCTTGGTGCATACTACTGTAGAAAATCAATGAAAAATGGTGGCGTAGGTATATTTACCCATCAGTCTTTACAATATGAACTTGTTAATCTTGAGGAATTTTGTATCGATCAAATAATAGAAGTTTGTGCTATAAAGTTATATCTTCCTACTAATAATATTTGCATTTTAACTGTATATAGAGCTCCTTCGGGAAATCTTTTACATTTTTTAAACTCTCTAGAAGTAATACTCAATAGAATTCAAACCAGGTCTGTAAGTATTATACTATGTGGAGATATAAACATAAATTATTTGGATAATACAGGTAGTAATAAGCCTAGATTAATTTCTCTATTAATGTCATACAACTTAAGTAGTATAGTAGACTTCCCCACCAGAGTTTCAAGGACCTCGGCTACAGCAATTGATAATATCTTCATCAATAGAAATATATATAAACTATTTTCAATCATTCCTATACCTAATGGACTCTCAGACCATGACGCCCAACTGCTCACATTGAGTAATACTTTATTTTCAAACTCTTCTAGCTCTTTTGTTACTAGAAGATTAATAAATGAGCATACCATTGCTGA